TTCCTTTCCCTTTGGTTCCACTCTAACAAACAGCATGTTCGTATAGGAAAACCAAAGAGAAACATCCTATCCCACAGCCCTTTGCATTACCTAGGGACAAGTTATCGTTATTAGTGCCAAAGGCCTGAGAGTTACACCATGTGTTTGCAGCTTGGGAAATGGTGGCCCCAGGGGGATGTTTAAGGCAAAGAATTTTCTGATAAACATCTGTATTTTATTTCTTGTTTGAGGCAAAAAAGTGTGCAAGTGTCATGCTGGGGAGACTCCAAGCTGGTGGCAGTGGAGCCCTTCAGGGTTTTATGTCTCCGCACTTTTTTCCTAAAACTTTTCTGGCCAAATAGTTATATTCTGAGCAGAGAGTAAGTTTTTGATGGGACCTTGGACATGGTCTGAAATCCTGGTGGTTGTGTCTATGCTCTTTACGCAACAAACTGTCATGAAAAAGCCACAGGTACCTATATAATTTTACGTGCCGTATATACCACAGTGCATGCTAGGCCTAGCTATATTTACTGTTGCCCTGGCCAGTTTGGGGTATTCTGATGTCCTGAGGCAATATGTGCTATGGTGTCTGGCTATTTCTTCTCCATGTTGTTACTGGATTTGGGCTTCACTTGTACATAGGACACAAAGAAAAGAAAACACATTACTGGAGTTTTGGTTCTACACCAGGCTTTTAAATTAACAAACTATAAAAGGCACCTCTATTTCTGCTAGCCCAAAGTTTCATGAACTCAACATTTCAATGAAGTCTGAAATGGGTTAAAATAGAGGAAAGAATAGGCCATGTTATTTTCGGATTTTTTTTTAAAACTTCCTTTTGCAGCCTGACAATAGAGCACGCTATTGTTGGGGGGGGAGGAAATTATCTTTCCATTTTTATTTTTTTTTTATGTACAACCATCTGCCTCATTACACCCATCTCACTGATCCCATGGCACACCATGATAAATGTAGATTGTGAGCATGAAGCCAGCCTGATCTCAGCTGCTGTGATTCATTCACAATAACATTTGAAAGATTTCCTGGGGCAAAACCACATGTGGATCCAGGCCCCAGTGCTGACTGGTGGGATGCCACATCTCAGTAAGCCAGGACCCTGCCGTGGAGAACCAGCCTTCTCCAAAACCTGCACCATCGCTGCCCGAAACTCATGACATCAGGCCCAGGAGTCACAATTGCAGTGGATCTGGATTGTGCCATCCTAAATCACCACCAAAGCCAAAACTGTATTTCAGGTATCATAATCTCTCACAAGCCACATGCGCCTCCTCCTGCCCCCACCCCCCCCAAAAAAAAAAAAAAAAAGCTAGCTGTGGTAGAGTATAAATAAAAGTGAGGAAACACAGTACCAGCAGTTTCTGCCAAGCAAAAGTACCTCTCCGTGTAAAGGAGAGGAGAATTAAGCAGAGGTGGTTCCCTAGCTGCTACTACAAGAAAACATCTTTTTTCCCCCTTTACTCTATCTTCCAAAAAAATAAGGTACATATTTTATGCTGGGGTGTGTTGCACGCAAGAAGGTACAGCAACAGGTAGTTAAGTCCCTCTATTTCCCCCTTAACCTTCAATAGAGTAAGTCACCCTGACACCCAAGCACTGGTCTCTCATATCCCTGGCCCACGCCTGGCCAACAAAGAGGGGGTAACTAGAACTCAGGCAGCTGCTGTCCACAGCCATCCTTTCCCTGATGCTCTCATGGACCTGGAGGAACAGACTTCCACCTTCAGCTTCCTCTGTGCAGAAATTAAAGTTTATTTTCTACCTAGGGGGACTTTTTACCCTCATTAAAATTTTCCCTGAGCCAGAGGAAGGGCACGTGCACCTGAAAGCTTGCAGAAAAAGATTATTTTTTTTATCATAATTGGTCTAAGAGAACCAAGAGTTTTACACTTCTTTTTGTCTCGGACCAGAGGCATCCTTTCCCTGAAGAACATTTGCTAATCTTGGTCCGTAGGTGGCAGCAGCCTTCTGCTGTTGGGAGATGAGCCTTTTGGTTTGGGAGATGAGGCTTAAATTCTGTGCCCAGGAGTGCTCAGAGTTTCTGAGACCCAAGAAGGAAAAAAAAAAAAAAGACACAACAACCCAAAAAACCAAAAACACAACTTAGCTTCTCTGAAGCTAATATTCCACCCCCAACTCTTCCTTCTGCAGCCTTAAGGCAGTGGGCACAGGGAAGAGGACTGTGGGTATTGGTCTTGAATAACCCAGATGTTGCGCCTGCTGCAGAGAGCAAGCTCGATATGAAGACTCGGAGCTCAGCAGGAAGCTCCAAGGGGCCCATGAGACTTGAATTGAAAGGGTCTTTAATAGTGCATCTGGGAAGGCAAAACCGTTTGGGATGGGAACGTGCAGCCTCAGCATCGCGTAGTCAACTATTAATGGTAAGCAACAGGGGAGGCAATTCGTCTTCTGGGTGTTGTAAACCTCTCTGAAGCTATAAAACTCCAGGGATTGGGCATCCTGAATACAGCCTTTTGGTTTAAGCACACACTTAGCAGCTCTGCTGAATAGGGGTGGATTTCAGAACAATCTTGAGCCTTTTGATGAACTGGTGCCCCAGACATCTTTAATCCAAAGATACGGTTTTTTAAAAGCGACTGAAACACACAGCCATTACACGCCAGGTGAGTGCCACCATCACCTGCAGCAAGGTGGATGTAGGCACTGGGTAATCATTTGCAGCAAGATATTTGTAGGCACGACTGTTAAACACCAACCCCTCGGAGCTGCAAAATAAACATGGGATTGCTACGGTCTTCTCCCCCTATAGACATGCCTTTCTTTGAAGAAAGACGTATTCGTTCTTACTCAAGTCTATGCAGACAACAGTTCTTTAAAATGTCAAATGCAAGTAAATACACTGAGCAAAGTAGCAGGAGTGATAAAACAGCAGAGCTGAAGAACGGTTATAAGGTATTAAACCAGAAGCAAATCTGAACTAAAAGCTTCTTTGAAGATGAAGATGATTATTACTATTATTAAGCACAGAGTCTCAGGGGGCCTTAGTTCTAGGAGCTATAGAAACACTTAGAGCCTGCAATGACTTTTGTAGGCAGACTCAATTTAACTGGGATTATATTAAGTTAATCAAATACATCAGTCCCTGCTGAACACTGTGTAAGAGACTGTCCCCAGCTCCAAAGCACTTTATAAAGCTCACTTAACATACTCCTATTTTGTTATCATCATTGTAACCATCATGTTCTAGCCCTTCCCCTTAGTCCCTGCTCTTTCCTTTATGCTGCATAAACCCTGATGGCCCATCAC